ATAATTTTTTTTCTGAACCAGACACCCCTCTGTTTGACCCTTTTTTGAATAGTATCAGACCAGGCAGGGCCCACACCTCACAAATTTCCCAGAGGTAAAAAGAGCACTGCAATGTAGCCAATGTTAAATAATGGTGGCTTGTAAATTGTATGACATGAATGGAAATAATGGTTCAATGCCCATTTAGCTCAGTATTTTCCATTGCAGGATGGTTGGCTGTCACACCACAATAGCTTATTTAAACTGTGATGTAGGTGTGATTGACACAGGCGCCCTCAGATGACCCCCTTGCTGGATGACATAGTTTCATTTTGTGACTACCACTTTATACATGTTTAAAGTACATTGCATTACACGTTTCACTTCATTTCTGTTTCCTCTCAAACCTGTGACATACAATGCAGGGAAAACCTTATCGAAGGTAAATTGTCGTTTGTGGCTGAGGCTTTAATATAGCTTGAACCTAATAAAATTTTCTAGCAAAAGAAAAAAAAAAGAAACTCCTCCGGTGGGCATTCACTTAAATAATATTTAGCTGTCAAATTATGATGAAATGAATTTGATGTTTGTTCATGTGCTAAAGCTGCAGAACTATTCTACCTGTTTTATCTTTGGAAATGCTGGTTTGGATATATAAGGCTCAGTATATGGGATTCATGTGGACTACAATGTATACAGTAATCACAGTCCCTGAAGAATAAAAGTACCACCTGTAAAATTTCAAAATTGACACATATTACTGTGTTCATGCTACTAAAATGTGTTCTTACCGGGTGTATGTGTGCATATATCACCCTGTTATATTTGTATCTAATTACTTGCAATAAGTAGTAGCTGCAATTTGTTGTTCATTACGGTGCCGCACTGTAACTCAAGCAGATCTTTTTTTTATTGAGTTCCAATTTTTGGGGACCATGGAAAATGATAAGCAGGTACATAGGTTCTTTTATCATTTATGCCTCCATGCCAATTAAGTTTGAGTATCCTCTTCCCATTCATATCTGCTTTTTTTCAAAATGGGGTTTTATACTATAATCCTCAATTAGTATTAGCATAGCATAAGTAATTTTTTTTAAAAAGGTAGTTGACATTGGTTCAATGACCCCTAACCAGGCACCAACGAATCAACTTCAAGAAAAACAAGTGAAAAGGTACAGCTCATCAATAAATATGCATTTTGCACTTGGAAGAACACAGTGGAAATTGTTGCATTGCTGACACCAAGTCAAATTCTAAACTAACCTGATCATATTTTCTTACAATTCCTCAATAAAAACACAAAGTCATGTATCAACACCACCAAAAGAAATGAAATACGGTTACAATTTGTCCAGTATAAATTATACTGTGGAAAATGAAGCCTCAATGATGTTTATTAACATAATTGATATCCAACAATGCTCCTCTATTCTTTTAAGTTATTAGTTACATGTGATTTAAGGTCCTATAGCAGAATACAGGACTGGTGATTAAAATTTATAACCTTTTGCATTAATTGTTCAAATGAGACACACATTAGCATAATCTATATTTAATCATGTCACTTTCCACATCCTTACCAACGCACTAGGGGCCGAAACCACTTACTCTCTGTCCCAATGGCTATCTACCATCCAAAAATATAACCCAAGCATGTACAAATCATGCGATGTCAAAATCAAAAGTTCTGCTCCAGAACCACAGAAAGCTACTAAAGGGCCCAGATTAGATTTTTTTTCTCTCTCACTGACCACATACCGAATATGATCCATCCTTGTCTTGTCGAGTTATGCGTTCCACACACCAAATATGATTAGATTCCATCCATACAATCTTAAGTTATGCTGTTCACAGACAGACACAATGTCATAGACAGGACTACTGAAAATATATTAACCTCCTTGATGAAGGTAATAAAACCACCGCAACTGTTTCTTCATCTGCAGACTTTACTTGATAATTTGAAAACACTTAATTCAAATTATGTACGAGGTACTGTGTTTTTCCATGCTTGACAGAATACACAATTACATGTACTAGTAAGCCTAATTGGTGGTGATGTATTACTGTATGACTGTGATATACATGTATTACTGTTAAAAAATCATTTAAAGATAAAAAATATGCAACATAATGGCTTAATTTGCATTATCCAGGGCTAAAAAATCAAAGGTGTCCCTGTAGCCAGAGGCGACCAAAATTAGCCTGGGACAACTCAATGTACACTTTGGGACAATTTTGGTACAGTACAAAAATCCTATTTTCACTCGCCATGCCATTGTTACATGTACATAACTTACATTAACGTAAGTTACAATATGCATGTAGGTGCGCAAGTCAAAAGTCAACTAACAAAACTGCTTTCAACAGGCAAGTAGTACTGTACACTACACGAGCAGATCACTTTTGCATCAGTCCCATAGTAGTAATTGATGTAATTCTACAGAACAGTGTATTTGATAAAATAAGTCTTTGGACAATCCAAGGTTATATGGGACAGTTGAAATCTCATCTTGGGACACTTCAGGGACAATAGGTCCTGGGAAAAAAGTTGATTTTAAAATACAACGCTACCTTTATTGACTGTTATTGATAAGACTGTGACTTCAATTATTATATTAGACTATGGGCTTCAGTCCCCCGAGGTTGGGTACACAGCACTTGGTCTGTCCCCCACGGGTACACTGTAGTCTGTAGCCATCCCTATTCCTGTTACTAGTTATTGAGTTATTGATAAGACTGTGACTTCAATATTAGACTATGGGCTTCAGTCCCCCGAGGTTGGGTACACAGCACTTGGTCTGTCCCCCACGGGTACACTGTAGTCTGTAGCCATCCCTATTCCTGTTACTAGTTATTGAGTTATTGATAAGACTTCAATATTAGACTATGGGCTTCAGTCCCCCGAGGTTGGGTACACAGCACTTGGTCTGTCCCCCACGGGTACACTGTAGTCTGTAGCCATCCCTATTCCTGTTACTAGTTATTGAGTTATTGATAAGACTTCAATATTAGACTATGGGCTTCAGTCCCCCGAGGTTGGGTACACAGCACTTGGTCTGTCCCCCACGGGTACACACTACACTGTAGCCAAAATCTTTTTTATGCCAACAAAATTATCCAGAATCTATTTAAAAATTGTCTACCATATACATTCCCAACCTAAACAAACGCTTGACTTGGATTATGAGTGGCTGTGATTACTGGTATCATGTATCATACTTTATCAAAATAGTACTCAAGACATGTGAAATTACTCACCTTAAGCTTTTCTGATTCTTTTGACACAAATCTCCCCCACACTGAAAGTCGTTTGGTCCCTTTCCGTTTTACTGCTACCTCTGTTGAGTAAAACAAACAAAGGAATTAAATAGAAGTTCAGTTTTATATTCAATAAAAAAATGGAATTTAAGAACTATTTTCTACTCACAAAAGGCATGGAATTGATACCAATTTTCCATAAATGAACACATACTACAGTAGTATTGGCCTTAGTAGCAAATGATTATGTGGACTACTGTGTTGTCATACTTAATGAAGTCCAATTACCTTTTACTCCCCTGTTTTTTTCATCTTTTTACGGAGCTGGGTGATGGCACTTCGCCCTTTGCTGCAAAAATATAGATATCATGCA